AGACATGAGATACTAACCTTTTCTCTGTTGAATCTATCGCCAGTGATTTGTTTATTTATTCATGTATTGTGTCTTTTATTTACTCATTTATCTATTTATAAAATTTACTGTGTCTTTAGCCAAAGACGCTATACAACTTTTTATTCTATTCATTTTCTATCCTCAGCTCAAGAGACCAATTTATGAATGAATTTACTCATCCATTAATTGATTCATTTACTGTCCTCTGCTAAAGAGACCAATTCATTAGTCAATCTATTTACTCATTCATTCATCCATTCATTAATTCATTCATTTAATCCTCGACTAAAGAAACCAGCTTATTAATAATTTTACTGACTCATTCATTAATCCATTTATTCACTTGCTTTACTCAACCGAAGAGACACAATCTATCAATCAACTTATCTCTGTCACTGTGTCATCCCTCTGCCCTAATCGCAGGGAATCCCGCAATGACCCCGACCGCCTCATGGCCGGTAACCTGACCTTACTCGAAGGGTCAAAGTTCAAGAGCGAATTGCCTCTGGTCGTCGTTACTCATGGCTTTTCCGAGACAGCTGATGATTCAGTCTGGATGAATGCCACGAAAAATGCTCTGCTTGATAGGGTAAGTCGTGCTAGGAGGGAATGGAAGGGATGGGGGGAGGGAGAGGGAGGGAGGGAGAGGGAGAGAGAGGGAAGGAGGGAGGGAGGGAAGGAGGGAGGGAGGGAGAGGGAGAGAGGGAAGGAGGAGGGAAGGAGGGAGGGAAGGAGGGAGGGAATGGAAGGGATGGGGGGAGGGAGAGGGAGAGGGGGAAGGAGGGAGGGAGAGGAAGAGAGGGAAGGAGGGAGGGAGGGAGGTTGGGAGGGAAGGAGGGAAAGGGAGGGAGAGGAAGGGGAGAGAGGGAACGAGGGAGGGAGGATGAAGGAGAGAGGGAAGGAGGGAGGGAGGGAGAGGGAAAGAGGGAAGGAGGGAAGGAGGGAGAGGGAGGGAAGGAGGGAAAAGGAGGGAGAGGGAAGGGGAGGGAAGGAGGGAGAGGGAGGGAAGGAGGGAAGGAGGGAAAAGGAGGGAGAGGGAAGAGGAGGGAGGGAGAGGGAGGGAGTGAGGGAGAGAGAGAGAGAGAGAGAGAGAGAGAGTCTAAAAACTAAAAAGACATGTAGATTATTTTTGAAGTGGAGCAACGCAATGGATAGCGAAAGAAAATTGTTTGTTGCTTTGAAGTTAGAATGGAAAACGGGCGCTTGTGTCTTTTTTCTATGATGTCTTTTTTTGGTCTCATATTAATAGTCAGCATTCAACACTTCTTCCTGTCTTCTTCTACCACCTCCCTCTCTTCCATCTCTCCGTCTCCTCTTTTCCCTTCTCCTCCTCCTTCTCCATCTCCTCCTCTAATTCTTCCACCACCTCCTCTTCTTCCACCCCCTCCTTCTCCTCTTCTTCCCCCTCCACTTCCACCTCCTTCTCCTCTTATCTCACTTCATTCTCCCTCCCCTTCCCCTCCTCCACTTCTTTCTCCTCTTCCCCCTCTTCCTCCTTTTCTTCCATCCTCATCTCCCCCTCCTTTACTACATCCACCTCTCCTTCCTCTACTCTTCTCCCCCCCCCCCCTCCTCCTCCTCCTCTCCTTCCACCCCCTCCTCTTATCCCACTTCCTTCTCCCTCTCCTTCCCCTCCTCCACTTCCTCCTCCTCTTCCTCCATCTCCATCTCCCCCTCCCTTATTACACCCACCTCTCCTCCCTCTCCTCTTCTTCCCCCGTCCCCTTCCACCTCCTTCTCCTTTTGTCCCTTCCCCTCCTCCACTTCTTTCTCCTCTTCCCCCTCCTCATCCTCTTCTTCCATCTCCACCCCCCCTCCTTTATTACACCCACCTCTCCTCCCTCTCCTCTTCTTCCCCCTCCCCTTCCACCTCCTTCTCCATTGTCCCTTCCCTTCCTCCACTTCTTTCTCCTCTTCCCCCTCCTCATCCTCTCCTTCCATCTCCATTTCCCCCTCCTTTATCACACCCACCTCTCCTCCCTCTCCTCCTCCCCTCCCCCCCCCTCCCCTTCCATCTCCTTCCCCTTTTGTCCCTTCCCCTCCTCCACTTCTTTCTCCTCTTCCCCCTCCTCCTCCTCTTCCTCCATCTCCACCCCCCCTCCTTTATTACACACACCTCTCCTCCCTCTTCTTCTTTCTCCTCTTCCCCCTCCTCCTCTCCTTCCATCTCCATCTCCCCCTCCTTTATCACACCCACCTCTTCTACATTCATTTCATCCCTTCTTGATCTTCTTCCCAACAGGCAGACATGAACGTCATTCTCACCCAGTGGCAAGAGCTGGCCAATGGTCTCAGGTACGACATCGCTGCCAGAAATACCTATTACGTGGGTATTGCTATGGCTGATCTGCTGAAGTTCCTTGAGGTACGTGTTCTTGGTATTCTTGGTTCTTGGTCTTTGTAGGTATGGATGATGAAGTCCTTGGTATCTGTTATTTTTCCGTTCATTCCGCTAGACTTGGTTTTCGTCCTTGGTATGATTGATAAAGTACCTGGTATCTTGGTAACAGTTATTTCCGTCCAACATTTACCTTGCTTTAAAAAAATACCGAAGGCTTCTAGAACATTTACCTTTCCTTAAAGAACAACAAAAAAAGCTTCTAGAACATATACCTTTCCTTAAATTGGCATTCGTCCTAAAAGCTTCTGGAATGTTTTCTTTTCCTTAAATAACAAAACAAAAGCTTATAGAACAATTACCTCTCCTAAAAGAACAAAACAAAGGCCTCTAGAACATTCACCTCTCCTCACAGAACAACACCGAAGGCTTCAACGGCAGCAAAGTACACCTCGTAGGCTTCAGTCTGGGAGCACAAGTGTCTGGAGTTGCTGGACACAAGTACCCAGGAGTGGCCAGGATTACAGGTACGTTTTTAGAGAGAGAGAGAGAGAGAGAGAGAGAGAGAGAGAGAGAGGGAGAGAGAGGGAGAGAGGGAGAGAGAGGGAGAGAGAGGGAGAGAGAGAGGGAGAGAGAGGGAGAGAGAGGGAGAGAGAGAGAGAGAGAGAGAGAGAGAGAGAGAGAGAGAGAGAGAGAGAGAGAGAGAGAGAGAGAGAGAGAGAGAGAGACAGAGACAGAGAGACGGAGATAGGAAGTGAGACAGAGACAAAAAATCCTATAATGCTAAAAAACAAAAAGACGAAGAAAACCCCAATCATAGCAGGCCCATCACCACCCAGGCCTCGACCCCGCCGGCCCGCTGTTCGAAGACGGCAACCCGGAGAGCCGGCTTGACGCTTCCGACGCGGACCTCGTCGACGCCATCCACACCAACGCAGGGTACCTCATAACGGGACACTTCGGCTATAACGACCCCGTAGGACACCTCGATTTCTACGTGAACGGCGGCAATTCTCAGTGCGGTTGCCCGCCTTTCATCTGGGATAGCATCGTCGAGATCATAACACTGTGTAGGTCGATTTGTTTTTCGATTCTGGCGTAAGGAAGGGTTTGGGTGTGGTTGTGTGTGTGTTTCTGGATTTATCTGTTTGGCTGTCTGTCTATCAGTTAATTAATCTTTTTATTTGTCTAACTTTCTGTCGATTTATGTGTCTATCCGTCTATCTACCTACTTATACATATATGTATGTATGCTTTAATCATATGCATTCATCATAAGTATGACTTTATTATTGTATTAAATTTTCATCATTCTTTGTAATTCATATCTTTTTAGTTTTTAGTATTTTCTCTCATATTGAGTATCAACATTGCATTTAATTTCTTACTTGTTCCTCGTACTGTTCACCTTTATATGACGTTAAACTCATCATCTTCTATTTATTAACTTATACGTCTTGGATTCCTTACCTGTTCATCTAAGTGTTCACTTTGCTTTATAACATTTGCATTATTCACACATAAGCAATGACTCGCATCCTCTCTCTGTACTCACTATACTGACTATACTCACTTATCAAAGTTTACCCTGCATCTCTTTATTATTAAGCAAGAAGGTACATAATCCTTCTTTCCTTTCTTTTGACATTAAATTTTCTGTTGGCCTCTTAGATTCTTTTTGTTTTTATCTTGATCTTTTGTTTGTTGTTTTTTTATACATTATCTTGCCTTGTATTTCATATGTTAGAATCTGTTACTTTCTTTCCACTCATTTGGATTTTCTAGTGTTAGATTCCATTAATCTATTAATCGTATTCTCTCGCCTCGGACTTCACTTGGTGTTTAATTCTGTTACGTTTTTTGTATGTCGTGTTTTATTGTGTCTTTCCTATAGTGTTAGATTCCATTCTCATATTCTCTTGCCTCGTACGTCACTTGGTCACAGAACCTATTACTTTATTTTCACACTGCGTTATTTGTATTTCACATATTGTGAAGTATTCTTGTCACCTAAGTCCCTTTTCTCACCACTACAGCGCCAGGAGACATCGACGCTTGCAGCCACGGCCGCGCCCACGAGTATTTCCTGGAGTCCATCCTCTCCTCCGAACCCACAGTCGGATTTCAGTGCCCGGACTACGAGAACTTCGAGGTAGGAGGAAGCAAGGTTTTGAATATAGTAGTTTACCCTTTAGAAATGCATATTTTCTCTTAATATACGGATTCTCAGGTAAATGAAGTCTATGTCCATTTTCACTAACAAATATATATATGTTTGCCATAACTCCGCTTACGTACAGAACATGGTTATGATGTTATCTCATATAATTATCATCTTTTGGTAAAACAACATCGTTTACTATATTTAAGTTCACTTAAAAAAGGGTTTATCTGCAAAAGATGTCTTACATAAGATTTCTTTTTTTTTCTTACATAGGATACATTTTTCTTTTTTTCTTCCTGTTCTTTTTTTTCTCTTTTTTTCTTCCTGTTCTTTTTTTTTTCTTCCGGTTCATTTACTCACATTTATTTACCTATTTTGCAGGTCGGAGAATGCTTCAGCACACCTCGAGCTGCTATGGGTTACGACGTCACACGCGAAGCTAGGGGGGTGTTTTACGTCGATACGCAGGTACGTTCAAAATGCCAAAATATTACTGTGTATTGAATCATGATCAGCTTTTAACTGTGAGCAGGATGCAACATACACATATTTAGATTTCAAAATACTCTACCTTGTTGATAACATGGAAGAGTCTTTGTTATTTTAGTGTTCATTATTGCTTATAAAATAAGTTTATGGAAACTGCTTAGTATTTTTATTCTGTGTATAATCAGGATCAGTTTAAAGAGTGGACAAATTAGATCGTTATTTAAGCATAAATTGGTTATTTTCTTATTATCAAATAGCCGTGAAAAATAAGGAATTAACTCTACAAATGTTAAAAATAGGTTTCAGCTTTCAGCAAAATAATTGCACTTAATCATGCATTTCCCGGTTTACATTTACGTGAACAAATATACATATGAAACAGTAAACAAGAAAATATTCACTGCATATTACAGATGATTTCAATTCTATCTCTTCCCTTAAAGCTTACCCTGCATATCCACTCTAACATACAAACCTTCCCACACAAATAAACACAAACCAAAGCAATGCGATTTCGTAAGCATAAACTAATATAATTCCTTCACAAAAAAATCTAGGGTGAGGCTCCCTTTTTCTCTCGCCATCTGGAAGTGAACTTAACCATAGGAGAGGGCGAAAGCACATACCACGGAGAACTGACTTTCCATACCATCATTCCCGGTCGAGAAACAAAGGAGGTTGTTATGTTTAGGTGAGTTGAATGGTCGTAGTAATATGGATGTTTGTGTGTGGTGGTGTTGTGATGTTGGCGTTAGTGGTGACGATGGGGATGATGGGGATTTTGTGATATGGCTGTGGCGATAAGGATGATATAATTGTGATTTCAGTGATGGTGGAAATGATAACAATAGTGGATATGTTAATCGATATTGTTCTTCTCATTGCTGTTGTTATGATGATATTACTATTACTGCTGCTACTACAATCACTTCTACTATTACTATTAATGCTTCTGTTACTATGACTATTATTACTACTACTACTACTACTACTACTACTACTACTACTACTGCTGCTGCTACTCCAATTGTTGTTACTACTATTATTACTCTTAGATTTACTACTATTATTACTCTTAGATTTACTTCTATTACTACTACTACCACTAATATTACCAACACTACTATTATTATTACTGCTGTTACTATTGTTACAATTTCTACTACAGCTTCTGCTGCAATTATTACCACTAATGCTACTAATGATAACTAATAATAATAACATTACTACGTACAGCCTGTAGCAACCATTCCCCCATTCCCCTCTTTACTAAACAACCTCTTCCTCTCTCTCTCTTCCCAAGTGGCTGGCCTTCCCTCCACCCTGGCGATCTTCATAAGACTGCCCTCACCACACCTTCAGGAACCAGCGCTGACGAGGTCCCTATCGACGTGGTATTCCATAAGAACTACCTGCTGCCTCTCTCGCCCAACCACCTCAACGTAGAGAGCATTGTGCTTGTCGATACGTACACGGAACAAGAGTAAGTATCGTGGATAGGTATGTGTGTGTGTGTGTGTGTGTGTGTGTGTGTGTGTGTGTGTGTGTGTGTGTGTGTGTGTGTGTGTGTGTGTGTGTGTGTGTGTAGTTATACAGATATGTAGACAAATAAATAAATATATATATATATGAGAAAGAGAGAGAGAGAGAGAGAGAGAGAGAGAGAGAGAGAGAGAGAGAGAGAGAGAGAGAGAGAGAGAGAAAGAGAAAGAGAAAGAGAGAAAGAGAGAAAGAGAGAGAGCAGCGTATGAAAGTACGCGTTAAATAAGAAACTAAATACTTTCATAAAAAAATAGTATGTCCTAAAATCATATTTTCTATGAAATCAAATTGGTTTTCTCCTCAATGAAAGGGGAAACCATTTGATTTTGGTAACGGATTCATCTGCCAATGTTTTATTACATGCAAACGTCTTTCCTTCACCATATCTATTTCTAAATACCATTTAGCTAGATAAAAAAATCAAATAAACCATTTATAATTAATAAAGCAGATGATTATCCCTAATTATATATGGAATAACGTCATATTTTTTCTCTGTCCCTAGATATTGCCTGGCTAGCAAGAAGGTCCTCGAATCTGGTACGACATATTCCCTGAGGGCTACTCTTGGATCCTGTTGAATGAAGACCATTTCTTGAAGTAGTGCATTTGACGGTGTGAAATTGACGGCGTCTAAGACCCACATCCATTTCAGGAAAACGAAAGATTTATGACACCCATTTCAGCTAGGGATTTATAGGGAAAGAAAGAATTTAAGACGGAATCAAATTTCAGCTGGAGAAATATAGGAAAACAAAACCCATTTCAGCAAAGGATCAACATATCAAGAAAAAAAAAAAAAAAAAAAATAAAGGTAAACCATAATTTCAGGAAAAGATATATAGGAAAACAAAAAAAATAAGGCATACCCATTTCAGCAAAGGGTATATAGGAAAACAAAAGATTCAAGACACACCCATTTCAACTATGGCTCTATCGAGAAAAA